GTGTTAGAACGAGCCGTTTTAGGGGGGCGTGGCAGAGTCTTAACTTTGATAAAGAATATCTCTTTGGTTTTGAGACTTTAGTCTTTGCAACTTCAGGGATCTTATCTATGCACAATCAGCTTGTAACACTCCAAAGAGAAAGGAAAACTTGAAATTGCATCATATGACCCCTTTAAAGCAACAACAGATAGTTTACCTCAGATCTTGAAATTAAATTAAAGCAGAGATGTCTGTTAAAACTGTGAACTCACTGCGAAGCAATGAGTGTATTCCATAGCAAAGATGTTATCAGTCACTCAGTATGTACATTTAATGATGTTAAAAAGCTTTAATATTTATGAATTAGATTATAAGCGTGTCCATTTCGTTGCGAGAGCAGTGCACTTCCAGAGAGACCCCACCCACACACGCTTCTGATTGGCTGTGATATTTGATTGATTCTGTCGCGTCGCGTCTGGTGTAGACACCCAAATTGCTTGTCGCTGGACTCTTGTCGCGTTGCGTGTAGTTAGGACACGGTATTAGACGATGTGTTTTTTATGATATTATTTTTTTTTCCTAGGTAAATGTGAGATGGTAAACGTACAATATTCCTCCCCGCACTACACCTGGCTCTGTGTGTTTAGTACACATGGAGTTAAAACTCCTTGTCTGATAAATATGAAGTTATGCAAACATCTGGGCAGGAGGCCGATGGTCAGCTTATCATGACTTTTTCAACTAATCGAAGTTCACAAACCATGCTGGCAGGACTTCTGACTGGCCATTCTGACGCATGTGCCAAGGTCGGGTGACCCAGCACAGATGACCTACATTTATCTAAATCTCTGGAATTCGACCATATATAATGAAAATGTTTTCTAGGGTCATTTTGTGTTAGTATGCACTCGTGTAGGTTGTTGGTTTGAATAGCAATCACTATCAAGCACTGGCTATTTTTGGTGCCGCCCCGAGCAGCAGCGAACACCACATGGTCCAGCACATCCATTCATCTGACCCCAGATCAGAGGGAGCCGTCACTCAGCATGAAACTTATGGAAGCAATGATGAAAACAGACGCTCCCTCATTCCCTGGAGCGGTTTACTGATAAGAATGAAATGGTTGGGTGAGAGCCGTATGGATTAATATTCAACAAGCCAATTGTAGGGCTAGATGAATAATATATGGTGAACTGGATGGCAGCTGCTTGTTGAGAATTCTGGAACATGTTCCAATGTCATAACACATTTTTGATTTGACATAAGGTTGTTCTTGTTACTGGAAGCAGGGCAGATTGATGGTGTGGAGGATTGGGAGGTCAGTACTCACTTGTGCATGTGTTCCACGCCTGTGAAGATCATAACGCCGTAAGCGAGACCGCTCTGTACCAGAAAGTGTAAGGCATACCTGAAGCACAAGGAGAAGAGGAAACCAATGAGAGGAGCCTATAACTTTATTAAACTGTGAAATAAGGACGTCATTTCGAACAGGAGAGAAATGTGTTGCTGAATATGATAAGATTCTATAAAGTTCATATACAAAATTTGCTTTCATTTTTTAAATGAGTTTTTATTTCATAGTTTTTGTCCATGAAAATGATCTAACTATGGTAGTATGCATATAACAAAAATCCTCATTGATCCTCAGTGAATTCTCTTAATATTGCAATCATGCTCAGGGTTATTATAGTTAACTTAAAACTAATACTAAATAATAAATACAAATTATATAGACATATTAAAAAAACTTGATAGGAACACAACAAAATTACTAAAACATTAACAAAATGCAAACAATTTGTTTTATAAAAAATATAAAATAAATATAAAAATAACAATTTATTTAAAATATTAATAAAAACTATTATAGTACCTTAATTACCCAAAAATTAATGAGATATTATACTGGTAATGATTATATATTTTTTCAGTGATTATATTATATTATATTATATTATAAATCAAAAGTGACAAATATAATCTTTCATCGCTTTATAATTAAATAAAAATGTCTGACTTCGCAGTGATGTAAGGATGATTCTTTAATTAGGGTCACTTTTAATAAAATCTTGAAAAATCAATTAATTTGAACAATATTTCATCTACATTAAAATATTTATCACATTTCCTTGAATATTATTGTGGCTTCGATCAAACTTCAAGTGGATATGGGTATAAAGTTATATTGTATAATTAAACATTTAATAATTTACTTTTAAAGACAAAATACATATGCTGTGATGGACTGAGCATCCATCCATGTGTTTCCCTGCTTGCAGCCTGAAACACTGGGATAGACTCCAGCTTCCCCGAAACCCTATGCAGGACAAGCCGTTTGAAGAATGATGGATGGACAATACATATGCTGTATCTTTATGCAGACTACTACACATCTGAGTTGCTGCTTTATACATACCTCAATCAAGACAGCAACTAAATTGCTTATTTACATTGTGTCTACACTCTGAGAATTCAAATGGAGGTATTGTAACTGTCATGCTGCTTGCTTGCAGTGCATATCTGGCTTTACATTTTCTATATTGCAGAAGAGTGACACGAAATTAGCAAATCCAAAATAACTAATTTATGTGCACTTACAATATTTTACAATGTTCAGCCGCTGCAAAAATGCATGTTGCAAACAGATAATTGCCGCAAAAGGAGTAGACCTTATACATAAAAACTGTAATCGACACTATCCAATAGCAGAATGATGTGGGGGTACTAGATTTCATCCATCTGGAATTGTTTGGATTGTGAAAGAGATATCTTAACCATTTGTCTGCACTGCCTATGTGACGCCAAAAAGAAAAGTTGTTTGTGGGGTGGAGCAAGCTATTGCATTTTGATGAGAGATTATGAAGCGTTTTTTCTGTCCAAAAACATGTGCTGATGAATCTCACACAGTAAAACCAGGAACACACATTTTGAAAGTAAATGAGCCCAGTTTGGATTTGATGTTGACCGAGAGCAAACAAATGTTTCGGTGAAGTCTCTGCTGGACAGAGCGGTGTGCAGAGAGAAAGGCAAACTCTCCGAGTATGCGATGATAGCAAATGTGACCATCGACCACAAAACCAGCCATAAGGGTCAATTTTTCGAAATTGAGATTTATGCATCATCTGAAAGCTGAATAAATAAGAGTTACATTGATGTATGGTTTGTTAGGATAGGACAATATTTGGCCGAGATACAACTATGTAAAAATCTGGATTCTAAGGGTGCCAAAAACATCTAAACACTGAGAAAATCGCCTTTAAATTTGTCCAAATTAAGTTCTTAGCAATGCATATTACTAATCAAAAATTAAGCTTTGATATATTTACGGTAGGAAATTTACAAAATATCTTCATGGAACATGACCTTTACTTAATATCCTAATGATTTTTGGCATAAAAGAAAAATCAATAATTTTGACCCATACAATGTTTTTTTGGCTATTGCTACAAATATACCCATGCGACTTAAGACTGGTTTTGTGCTCCAGGGTCACAAATCACATTAGAACAGCTGAGGGGAAACCCCCTCACAGGCTGCCACACAAATACAGCAGACATTTGTGAGACACACAACATTCGTTAAATTAATTTGGTAGTAATAATGATATTTCACTCACAAAAAGGTAGTATTACAGTAAATGCATTCAAGAAGGCATAAACAACACATTAGTGTCCACTATGTCTTGGGTAATGTCACTGTTTAGAGGTCTTGCTTCTTGCCGTCACGTTTATTGCATAATGACTTCCTGTGTGATTTGGCTGGACTGAGCTCTGTTCAGAAAGCTTTAACAGACCGCTGCATATGGTTAGAGGTTTTTCAGAAAGTGTCAGCTTAAATTGTATCAGTGGGAGTCATGCTTATCACATTTTGACAACCTTGTGACAAAAAAAAACAAAACAAAAAAACGTTGTGTGATGTAGTTATGTCATTTTGTCTCTTTTTATTCTATTTAGAAATGTTGAAACACAAACAGAGGTTGAAAAGCTGAGACTACTAGTGAAAGTGCTTTTACTTAGCATTTTTTAATTTCATATAAAATGTGTCATTGCAAATTATTTTATCAGTACAAAAACATATGCAAAAAGATGAAAAATAATACGAATTTCAGAAAGTATTTGTATAAGTAGTAGGGCTGTGCGATATTGAAGAAAAATGCGATATGCGATAACTCATTAAACAATGCAATATTCGATATGCGATACGATAATGCTTAAAGTGCCACATGCTCAGATGAAACAGTTTTACTCCACTGTTGCTGAGTCAGTTCTGTGAACTTCTATAACTATTTTGTGTCATATATATATGGTTATTTGTATGTATGTATGTATCTATCAAGAGCTCCTGTAAAACCACAACAAATTCCTTGTGTTTGCGCACACTTAAGTGGTGAATAAAGCTCATTCTGATTCTGATTCTAATATAACTAGCAAACATGTTTCACTTTTTGTGAGAAGAAAGCACCCCTACAACAACTTCTGAAAGTGAACGGTAGTGTTTTACTCTAGCATTACATAAAAATGTCATTTTAACATTAGTGTAATCATTTTAACATGAGTTTAGGAACTGAATAATAAAATGAAAAAAATACAACACTGCTTAGTATTTACTCTATGAATTCAATATGCACTGATTCTTATTTAAGCTACAAAAGTTATTTAGGTAAGAGCTAGGGCTGTGCAATATATCGAAATTATCGAAATATCGCAAATGTACATATCGCAATATGCATATCGC